AGGCCTTTCACCACAGAGCATGGTGCAGACTGAGGGATTACTGAATCATGTTGTTTTCTCTATATTTAGAACGGCACACTGCTCAGTAACTTATCCAATGCAGATGTTGCAGCTGAGTGAGGAAGTTGGTTTCTCCCCATCTCTTTATCACATGTCACCTGACTTCTATGTTGCATATGTTGGCTTTAGCCTGGAATTGTTTAGACAAGAATGTGAATATTAGCTGTATACAATTTGCAGCAGCTTTGGAAAACAGTGTAATTCCACGTGAGTGCAGGTGGGGACAGTGCTGAGCTGATGTGAGTTCACGCAGGTGCAGGTGGGGACAGTGCTGAGCTGATGTGAGTTCACGCAGGTGCAGGTGGGGACAGTGCTGAGCTGATGTGAGTTCACCCGGGTGCAGGTGAGGACAGTATTGAGCTAAAGTGAGTTCACGGGGTGCAGGTGAGAACAGTGTTGAGCTGATGTGAGTTCACATGGGTGCAGGTGGGGACAGTGTTGAGCTGATGTGAGTTCACAGGGTGCAGGTGGGGACAGTGTTGAGCTAATGTGAGTTCACATGGGTGCAGGTGGGGACAGTGTTGAGCTAATGTGAGTTCACGTGGGTGCAGGTGGGCACAGTGTTGAGCTGATGTGAGTTCACGTGGGTGCAGGTGGGGACAGTGCTGAGCTGATGTGAGTTCACGCGGGTGCAGGTGGGGACAGTGTTGAGCTGATGTGAGTTCACATGGGTGCAGGTGGGGACAGTGCTGCGCTGATGTGAGTTCACGCGGGTGCAGGTGGGGACAGTGCTGAGCTGATGTGAGTTCACGCGGGTGCAGGTGGGGGACAGTGCTGAGCTGATGTGAGTTCACGCAGGTGCAGGTGAGGACAGTGCTGAGCTGATGTGAGTTCACGCGGGTGCAGGTGGATGAGGACAGTGTTGAGCTGATGTGAGTTCACGTGGGTGCAGGTGGGGACAGTGCTGAGCTTACGTGAGTTCACAGGGTGCAGGTAGGTGAGGACAGTGTTGAGCTGATGTGAGTTCACAGGGTGCAGGTGCAGGTGGGGACAGTGTTGTGCTGATATGAGTTCACACAGGTGCAGGTGGGTGAGGACAGTGGTGAGCTGATGTGAGTTCACGCGGGTGCAGGTGGGGACAGTGCTGAGCTCACGTGAGTTCACGTGGGTGCAGGTAGGTGAGGACAGTGGTGAGCTGATGTGAGTTCACAGGGTGCAGGTGCAGGTGGGGACAGTGTGCTGATATGAGTTCACACAGGTGCAGGTGGGTGAGGACAGTGCTGGGCTAATGTGAGTTCACACGGGTGCAGGTGGGTGGGGACAGTTCCCTGTCTGGCCATATTGGTTTTTATCTGTGCTGCGGCTTCACAGGTTAGAGCTGCTCCCAAGCTGGAGATGGGTTGCCGTGGCCGAATCTGTCACATGGTCTGAGACTGGCTGGGACGCCCGGTGCATGATGCCAAGGGGCAGGAGAAGCCAGGCCCGTCTGCCGCTGCCCTTGCTGAAGCCAGTGTTTGCTGGTCACAGCCTGAGTCCTCTGTCCTGCCTCCAGCTCCTGGTGTGCTGGAAACTACAGGCTGTCATGTGACCATGTCTGTAATGTAGGCGGACTTCAAATGTCTTTAAATTAAAGGTACTTTGCCAGGTTTTAAAAAGTCACTGTTTTCATTCTGTGTTCAACAGTTTATCAAGTAAACAAACATGCCTCCTCCACTAAAATAAACAATTGACAGAAAACTCCATGTGCTACAGATAATCGCTTTAAAGACGTTAGCAGCTGACTGTTGGAGAACCGTGTGTGGGTTTGGTCTGTGCGCTCTGCGTCTGAAGGTGCTGGGAGGCGCTTGCCTGTATTTTGCCTGGAAGCTCCGTGGGACTCACTCAGGAGGGGCCCCTGCCCCGAGGCTGGTGGGCAGGACTGGTTAATAGTGAGTGCCAGCTTGATTGAAGGAGGCGAAGTCTTGTTCCTGGTGTGTCTGTGAGGGTGCTGCCGGGAGGTTCCCGTTGGGGTCAGTGGACTGAAAGGGGCAGACCCACCCTTAGTCCAGGTGGGCACCATCCCGTCAGCTGCCAGGTGGCCAGATGCAAGCAGGCTGAGGAAGGCGAAGGGCCGGGCTGCCGAGTCCTCCGTGTTTCTCCCGTGCTGGACGCGTCCTGCCCTCGGGTGTCGGACGCCAGGTTCTTCAGCCTTTGGACTCGGCTCGCACCAGTGAGTCCGGGGCTCTCGGGCCTTGGGCCGCAGACTGAAGGCTGTGCCGTCCGCCTCCCTGCGTTTGAGATGTTGGGACTCGGACCAGCTTCCTTGCTGCTCAGCTTGCAGACGGCCATCGTGGGACTTCCTCGCGTGACTGTGCGAGTCCTGTCCCTCCAGCAACCCTGAGCACAGCAGTGGGGGGGCGCGGATCCCAGGACGCCAGCTCTGCTGTCCACCCCACTCTCTTCCCGTCCTAATTCATCCTCCTTTCCATTCCTCAGGCAGAAATTACGGGCTTGTGTTTTAGACCAAGGCCTGGTGCTGTTTCAGCCGGTCGGGGTGGGACCATGTAATTTCAGTGGTGACTGTTCCCAAAAAGGCTGAGTGGGACCCACTGCAAGGCAGAGGACACCCTTGATTTCTGAGGCAGGAGGCCCCTCTCGGGACGGGAACTGCAGATTGGTGAAGCTCTGCCTGTGTAGACGCCTCTCCACCATTTCCCCCCTCCCTGTGGAGACACCCCACCCCCACTTCCCCCCCTCTGTGTAGACGCCTCTCCCCCTACTTACCCCCTCCCTGTGTAGACGCCTCTCCCCCTTCTTACTCCCTCCCCGTGTAGACGCCTCACCCTCACTTCCCCCCCGTGGAGATGCCTCTCCCCCTACTTACCCCTTCCCTATGTAGACACCTCACCCGCACTTCCCCCTCTCTGTGTAGACACCCCACCCCCTCTTCCCCCTCCCTGTGTAGACGGCTCTCCTCCACTTCCCCCTCCCTGTGGAGACACCCCACCCCCTCTGTAGAGACACCGCACCCCCTCCCTGTGGAGACACCCCACCCCCTCTGTAGAGACACCGCACCCCCACTTCCCCCTCCCTGTGTAGACGGCTCTCCCCCACTTCTCCCCCTCTGTGGAGACACCGCACCCCTACTTCTGCCCTCTGCAAGATGAGCTGTATCTTTCTTCACCCTGATGTTCGCAAAGGGTTTTCCCGAACAGAGGAAAGCGTCACAGAGCCCTGGAGAGGGAGGGCCTGAGTGCTGCAGCCCCACGCTTTCCAGAGGCGCCGGGCTCAGGCCACGTCCCCACCTGCTTGTTTCGCTCGGCACCATCTCCGCTGTTCTTGGTGGCCTGAGCCTCCTGAATGCCACGGGCCTCGGGGCTTCCTTAAGGCACTTATGCCCCAAAGAGTAGGAGCTTTTAAGATGTTTTTGCTGAGGTAGAGCATGTTCACATAAAGGCTTAGCAAAGGGGAGCGGCCTGGGTGTTGTTCAGTGGCTCCTCCAGAGCGCTGGCTCCAAAACCCGCTGACCCGGGAGTGAGCTGGAACAGGCAGATTTCTGGGCCCACCGCAGAGGCTCACTAACATCCCACGGGCCCGCCACAGAGACACACACTCACATCCCACGGGCCCACCGCAGAGACATACACTCACATCCCACGGGCCCACCGCAGAGACACACACTCACATCCCACGGGCCCGCCACAGAGACACACACTCACATCCCACGGGCCCACCGCAGAGACACACACTCACATCCCACGGGCCCACCGCAGAGACACACACTCACATCCCACGGGCCCGCCACAGAGACACACACTCACATCCCACGGGCCCGCCGCAGAGACACACTCACATCCCACGGGCCCGCCGCAGAGACACACACTCACATCCCACGGGCCCGCCGCAGAGAGACACACTCACATCCCACGGGCCCGCCGCAGAGACACACACTCACATCCCACGGGCCCGCCGCAGAGACACACACTCACATCCCACGGGCCCGCCGCAGAGACACACACTCACATCCCACGGGCCTGCCGCAGAGACACACACTCACATCCCACGGGCCCGCCGCAGAGACACACACTCACATCCCACGGGCCCGCCGCAGAGACACACACTCACATCTCACGGGCCCGCCACAGAGACACACACTCACATCCCACGGGCCAGTCACAGAGACACACGCTCACATCCCATGGGCCCACCGCAGAGACACACTCACATCCCATGGGCCAGCTGCAGAGACACACACTCACATCCCACGGGCCCACCGCAGAGACACACACATCCCACGGGCCCAGAGACACACACTCATATCTCACGGGCCCGCCACAGAGAAACACACATCCCACGTGCCCACCGCAGAGACACACACTCACATCCCACGGGCCCACTGCAGAGACACACACTCACATCCCACGGGCCCACTGCAAAGACACACACTCACATCCCACGGGCCAGCCGCAGAGACACACTCACATCCCACAGGCCAGCCACAGAGACACACTCACATCCCACGGGCCAGCCACAGAGACACACTCACATCCCACGGGCCCGCCGCAGAGACACACGCTCACATCTCACGGGCCCGCTGCAGAGATGCACTCACATCCCACGGGCCCACCGCAGAGACACACACTTACATTCCATGGGCCTGCTGCAGAGACGCACTCACGTCTCATATTGGTGCATTGGTGCCTCTTGACTGAACAGCCTGTTCAAGGCTCTTTCCTGCTTTGCTGCTGTATTGTCTATCATTTTCTGACTTAATCGTAGGCATTGCTTTATATGAGTTTGAAATATGTTCCTGGGGCTGGGCGTGGTGGCTCACACCTGTAATCCCAACTCTTTGGGAGGCTGAGGCGAGAGGATCACTTGAGGCCAGGAGTTTAGGCTGCAGTGAGCTGTGATCGTGCGACTGCACTCCAGCCTGGGCAATAAAGCGGACCCTATTAGTCAGCCAATCGACCAACCAATCAATATGAACAAACAATGGAGAACTGTGTTCTTCCCTGCAGGACGACGTGATGATGCCCCAGCGGGTGAGGCTGCAACACCAGGCTGCCGTCCAGCACCCATCCAGCGTGAGTACTGGCCTCCTCCTCAGCACTGTTACTACCTTCAGTGAAACCCCGCTGTGGCTCCTTAAATAAAGAGTTTTCCTTGGAGAGAAAAGAGTCAGGTTACGGTGAGACTCACAGTGAGGAGGCTGCAGCTGGCACATCCCTGAACACTTGAGGGAGTTTTCTTTGAAGAAAAACATGCTCCTAATTTTGAAAAGCACTTGTTCCTTTCAAATGGGTGCAAAGGGGTTTTTCTTGTTTGTAAACAGCATTTTAGAAGCTGAGTACCTCAGACGTGAAAACACAGGTTGAGAGCAATACTGTGGTAGCAGGTAAAGATTTTTATTTAGACGACCTTAAATTATGTTTTTTTTTTTTTTCCTTTTTGAGACAGAGTCTCACTCCGTCACCAGGCGCCAGGCTGGAGTGCAGTGGCACGACCTCGGCTCACTGCAGCCTCCGCCTCCCGGGTTCAAGCAGTTCTCCTGCCTCAGCCTCCCAAGTAGCTGGGGCTACAGGCACGTGCCACCACGCCCAGCTGATATTTTTGTATTTTTAGTAGAGACGGGGTTTCACCATGTTGGCCAGGATGGTCTTGATCTCTTGACCTCGTGTTCCACCTGCCTCGGCCTCCCAAAGTGCTGGGATTACAGACGTGAGCCACTGTGCCCAGCTAAATGACGGTTTTTATCTTTAGAGCGGCTTCTTGGTTGCCCCTCCAAAGCCAGGCTTCCTCAGGCCCCTCCTGAGCTGAGCACAGCAGCATCCGTGGGCTCCTCTGCTCAGCAGGTGGAAGCACCGGCCCCCACTGCAGGTGGTGGGGGCACATGGCCAGGGGTCTCTGGAGCGGGCTTCCGGCCACCTCGAGGCCCCTGCTGGCTTCAGGAGAGGTGACTGTCCTCAGAGATCTCACTGAAGTTTTAGAAGACTTTAAACCACGATGGTGATCGCTTGGTTATGAACACCAAGGGATATGAAACCGTCCGGCACTCACGGTGTCCATCCCCAGGGGCAGCTGGTGTTCCCCCCAGACAGGCCCCTCTGCCCTCCCGCTGCGGGGCCGTGTGTCATGGACATGTGTGCGGTTGGGTGGCCACATGGTTCAGTCACGGCAGGCTCTGCTCTCGTTGGTCAGGTTGCAGAAGGGCCGGTCACCACAGGCTCCGGTCACACAGGCTCTGCTCACATCGGTCAGGTCCCACACGGGCCGGTCACAGTGGGGTCTGTCCCACGTAGCTCTGGGAGCCCAGCTTCCCACAGATCGGGTGCTCGTGAGAATTCATGCTGTGGGTTTCCCAACGGAAATGGCTCATGAGATGCAGTCATGGGGTGAGGTTTCTCCAACAGCGTCAAGGATCCGGGACTCGGGGACAAGGGCTGGCTTCCACCCCGGCCGCAGTGCTGCGGGCTCCTCGGTCCGGGACGGGAGAGGGTCACAGACGGCTCTGCGGCCTGGCGTCTCTGCTGGAAGAGGGAAGACGGGGAGGCGCCTTCGGGATGGACCCTGGGGTCAGCGTGTGAAGCAAAGTCCGACACGGGTGTCCGGGAGGGAGACGGTGCCGTGCACGGGGGCTGGGGAGGAAAGGTGCCCCGCGGCAGCCGTCCGACCCCCTCTGCTTCCCGCCCTGCGACTGTGGGGTCCTGCGGGCTGAAAGCTGGGGTGGCCCCGTCCACGTGCAAGGTGCCGCGTCTGTCGCTCAGAGCCCTTTTGACACGGCTGGGAAGGAGAGTTGCCGCGTATTTAGAACAGATGATGCAGACGTCTGGGGAATTCTGTAATGACTGTTGACATTTAGTGGAGGAGATACTTTCAGATATGTTTCATTTCCATCCTGGGAAAAAAACCCAGGTTGGCTTCGTTAATGAAATTGCTTTTGGCAGTTCTTCATGGCAGGGGTTCGAGGGAGCTGGGATACTTAGGGACTCACAGGAACCTGGTGCAAATGCACACGGTCAGTCTGTTTCCATTGTAATGAGGCAGCTCAATTTGCATTTGCCTCAATGATTTTAGGCATTTTTCTTGCTGCTCTTCCACTGCCGTGGGTGATGCTCTGTCGTGCATGTGAGAGAGAAGCTTCTGCCCTGAGGAAGCCACGTCTTCTCCGGTGGCAGAGACGCGCAGCCGCCACCCGAAGCTCTTCGGCAGGAAGCGGCAATGTCACCAGAGTTTTGTTGAACCAAAGCAAAGTCAGCTTTAGAAAGGCTGTTATTGCGTGGCTGGATTTTTTTCATAAATCATGACTTACAGAAATCTTAATTTGAAGTTGCTGGTTAGCAGTTATGTCAATTACCTTGTAGTTTGTCCTGAGAGGATGAAGTGAGTGCTGAATGCATACTTGTGCTTGGTGGTTGTTTTTTTAAGGTTCTTTACAAGAAACTGTCTAATTAGGAAGCATCCTTGATGACAGTTTTCGTAAATCGTGCGTTTGCATGTAAATAGCCACTGCAGAACTCTGGGAACCCTGCATGTGGGGGTGTCGCAGGAAGAGGGAATGCGTCGTGCGCCGGGAACTCGCTCCTGCTCCTGAGGGCCAGTCAGGCCGTCCCTCTGGCTGCCATCCCAGCTGGCCACTGGATGCCTGAAGCTGTGCACCCGGTAGCTTACCATCTCCGTGTCTGTGCTCAGGAGACCCCGGAGAGGAAAGCCTCCATTCTTGGTCACCTCTGGACCGCCCCAGACCAAACACAGAGGCTGGACGGGCCCCGCCCGGCTCCTCTCCAGAACTAGTGTCTGTTCCAAATGTTCAAGACCAGCCTTAGCACAAGTGCTGCACCCTCATCCTCCGGGGAGCGCAGGTGCTCCACCTTACTGTACGGCCTCACCCACCTTCGTCTGCAGGGATGGAGCTCACAGGAAGGTTTAGGGAAGCGAGTGAAGGAGCAAAGACAGGAGGGCTCCCAGGAAGTAGCCTAATCCCCAGCTTGCCTGTCGGGACGAGTGGAGCGGCCATGCCATGCCACGATCATCCTCCAGCACTGTCCCTCCCCGCACCCTGTGCCACGCCATGATCATACTCCAGGGTTGTCCCCCTACCCCCACCCTGTCCCACATCATGATCATCCTCCAGCCATGGCGTCAGGAGGGCACAGCCACGATGTCAGGAGGGCACAGCCACGGTGTCTGGATAACACACCCATGGCACTGGGATAACACAGCCACGGTGTCTGGATAACACAGCCACGGTGTCGGGAGAGCACAGCCACGGTGTCTGGATAACACAGCCACGGTGTCGGGAGAGCACAGCCACGGTGTCTGGATAACACAGCCACGGTGTCTGGATAACACAGCCACAGTGTCGGGAGAGCACAGCCACGGTGTCGGGAGAGCGCAGCCACGGTGTCTGGATAACACAGCCACGGTGTCTGGATAACACAGGCACGGTGTCAGGAGAGCGCAGCGGCTGCCGCCGAGGGGCTGCGAGTGGCTGAGGAGCACTTCAGGTCCTCGAGCCCTGGGACGTCTGGATCTTGACCCCATCCATGTCCCTGTCTTGGTGCGACGTTGACCTTTGTTCCTCGTGATGTCACCATGAGAGGAAATGTGAAGGTTACAGAGGGTCTCTCTACGATTGGTTCTTTTAATTGTTTTTGGAGACGGAGTCTCACTCTGTCGCCAGGCTGGAGTGCAGTGGTGCGATCTCAGCTCACTGCAACCCGCCTCCCAGGTTCAAGTGATTCTCCCACCTCAACCTCCGGAGTAGCTGGAACTACAGGCACACACCACCACGCCCACTTAATTTTTTTTTTTTTAGTAGAGACGGGGTTTCACCTTCTTGGCCAGGATGGTCTCCTCTTGCTCTCGTGATCCACCCACCTTGGCTTCCCGAAGTGCTGGGATTACAGGCGTGAGCCGCCGTGCCTGGCCTACAGTTGTTTCTTACAACTGCAGTGTGAATTCACAGTTTTCTCAAAATAAGTTTAATTGGAGAAAACTACAACAAATCCAAGAAGCCGCCTCCCTAAACACTTCATTAACTGCATTGATAGAAACAAATCACTCACTACCTATTAGTGTCTGCGAGTTAGAGCCAGATACAGGGACCTCAGTCACCTCAGTGTAACTCGATTACCACTGAGTTAGAGACCGTCTAACTAACTGATACACTAGATCACGTCTGAGTTAGAGACCGTCTGGCTCGTGGATACACTAGATCACGTCTGAGTTAGAAACCGTCTGACTCACTGATACACTAGATCACGTCTGAGTTAGAGACCGTCTGGCTCACTGATACACTTGATCACGTCTGAGTTAGAGACCGTCTGATTCACTGATACACTAGATCACATCTGAGTTAGAGACCGTCTGGCTCACTGATACACTAGATCACGTCTGAGTTAGAGACCGTCTGGCTCACCGATACACTTGATCATGTCTGATGTGGGAGACCGTCCAGCTCACTGCTCATTGCACCACTGTTACATCTTCACTGTTCTCCTTGTTGGTCTTGGGTGAGGTGGAATCGGCCCCATCCTCTGGGACGTGTGGCCTGAGCCCTGTGCTGTGAGATCATCCCCTCGGGCGGCTCTGCTGGTCCTGGGCCCTCACTTGGGGTGGGCTCTGTTGCCTGTGGATTCACCCAGGCGCCCTCTCTCCAGCCAGCTCCTCATGCTGCTAGGTGAGTGTGAGCCCTGGTGGACCTGCCCCCCACCTCTCGGTCTCGGGAGCTGAGCAGAGCCAGGGCTGAGTGCTGGGATCCCACTCTGGGGCAGAGGTCAGGCAGGAGGAGGCTGGGCGGGGCAGGGGGCAGGGGTTAGGGTTAAGGTGAGGCAAGTGATGTTCCGAGGCTCTGCCAGGGATGGGGGAGGGGCGGTCAAGGGCACTGGCAGGATGTCTCCTGGGTGCGGGGGGAGCTGCCCTGGTGGCCCAGGGAGAGGGTGTCGGCCTGGGGGAAGCAGGGTGGGGGCAGGCGCTTCTCCACTTAGGGATGCTGCTTTTCTGAGCTGAACGGAGCCGGCTCAGGTGGGCCGCCTGCGGCCAGGGAAGTGGCTTTCTCACACCGACTTTGGGTGTCAGTTCTTGGAAAGGACAGCATACAGCCCAGTGATTCGAGCGCGTGAGGGGGAAACGTCATCTGCCGAGACGCACGCCCAGGGCCGTGGCACCCACCGTCACTCTCCCGTCCCCAGCAAGGACCGGCGTGCCTCCTCCTCCTCGCCCTTGACTCCCGTGTTTGCCTGACCTGACCCAGACTCACTGCGGTTCAGTTTCCTGTCTGGACCTGTGTGCCCGAAACACCGAAGATGAACACACAGGTGCACACACTCCTGCGTACAGGACGCTGTTTTGAGCTGTTTGTCATTTTTCACAGATCGTCGGCTGCCAAGTGAGGAGAGATCCCCCTGACTCCACCGAACGATACACACGTTGGATCAACCAGCTGACGGCTGAGCAGCTGCTCACCCAGGTACTGCCCTCGGCCGCGCCTGGCCTGGCACCTGTCTGGGGTCCCCTCTGGGCACCATCTCCCCTGTCTGGGGCAGGTGCCCGGGTCCCCTCTGGCATCATCTCCCCTGTCTGAGGCAGATGTCCGGGTCCACTCTGGGCACTGTCTCCTGTGTCTGGGGCAGGTGCCTGGGTCCACTCTGGGCTCCGTCTCCTGTGTCTGGGGCAGGTGCCTGGGTCCACTCTGGGCTCCGTCTCCTGTGTCTGGGGCAGGTGCCTGGGTCCACTCTGGGCATCGTCTCCTGTGTCTGGGGCAGGTGCCTGGGTCCACTCTGGGCTCCGTCTCCTGTGTCTGGGGCAGGTGCCTGGGTCCACTCTGGGCTCCGTCTCCTGTGTCTGGGGCAGGTGCCTGGGTCCACTCTGGGCTCCGTCTCCTGTGTCTGGGGCAGGTGCCTGGGTCCACTCTGGGCTCCGTCTCCTGTGTCTGGGGCAGGTGCCTGGGTCCACTCTGGGCATCGTCTCCTGCATCTGGTGCAGGTGCCTGGGTCCCCTCTGGGCGCCATCTCCTTTGTGTGAATTTTGAAGAGCCACGATATATCTGAGAAAGAATAAAATTAGAAGACCAATGCTACCTGATTTCAGGACTAATCAGGACAATATGGTATTGGCATAAGGTGGACAAACAGATCAAAGAACCGAATAGAGTCCAGAAACAGACTCACGCGGACACAGACAGCTTTTTTAAAATAGAAGATGAAGTGCTGTTCAATGGAGGAAGATTATAATCTTTTCCACAAACAGTGCTGGAACCTGTGGGTACCCATACACGTTAGGTGGAGAAATACCACATGGTGGATAAATGGAAAACCGAAAACTCTAAAAATTCTGTGAGTGACGTAGGAAGAGTTCTCTGTGATGCTGGGTTAGACAGTAAGACACTAAAATCTCAATCTATAAGAGAAAAAAATGGATAAATTGGACTTTATCAACATTATGAATTTCTCTTTGAAAGACATTGTTAAGAGAATGAACAGCCAAGCCAGGAGACAGGGAGAAAATGTTTGCAAATTGTATCTAATATGCAAAGAGTTCTCCAGAATCAACAATAAGAAAACAACATCCCATTTAAAAATGGACCAGTGATTCAAATAGACACTTCATTAAGTGAGGTATGCAGATAGTAAATTAGCTCAGCATCATTAGTCACTAGAAAAATGTAGAAGCCACAACATAGGACCACGTGCTGGCGTGTCTTAAAAAGACTGACCCTGTTACCTGCCGGTATACGAGTCCATTCTCACTCTGCCAATAAGGACGCACCCAAGACTGGGTAATTTATAAAGAAAAAGGTTTAACAGACTCAAGTTCCATGTGGCTGGGGACGCCTCACAGTCGTGGCAGAGGCAAAAGGTGCATCTTACGTGGTGGTGGGCAGGGGAGAATGGCAGCCAAGCAAACGGGGTTTCCCTGATGAAAACCCACGAGAATTCATCACTCACAAGAACAGCATGGGGGAAACTGTCCCAGGATTCAGGGGCCTCCCACCAGGCCCCTCCCACAACACGTGGGAATCATGGGAGCCACGGCTGAAGATGAGAGGTGGGTGGGGACACAGCCGAGCCCTGTCAGCGGGTGAGGTTGCAGAGCAGCTGGCTCTGGCACGCCGCTGGGGGTTTTTACAGAGACAGCCACGCTGGAAAACAGCTGAGTGGGACTTGAGAAGCTCACCATACAACTGCCCTTCCCATCCGGCCCTTCACCCGAGACAGTGAAAGCGTCCGTCCCCGGGAGACCCAAGCAGGCGTCCATAGTAGCTTCACGTCTAGCCCCAGACTGGAAACAGCCTGAACATCCAGCAACAGGGGAAGGAAGTGGATTTTGGTGTGCAGTGTGAGTGTGGCGCTGAGTGAGAGGACCCAGAAAGAGGCGTGCCTGCTGTGGGAAGACGCACCCTGATTTAGCACCCGCGCATGGGTGATTGTCTGGGGCGGGGGGTTGCCAAGGGCACAAGGCAGCTTTGGGATGCTGATACATGCCCATGACCTTGAACACGGTGAGGGTCCGGGCTGTGCACACTGCCCCACGCATGTCATGTCATTCTAGTGCTTTGGGAGGCAGAGACAAGAGCAGGGCTTGAGTCTGGGAGTTCCAGACCAGCCTGGGAAACACAGTGAGGCCCTGTCTCAAAAACATTTGTGGACTGAAACACTTTAAGTATGTGCAGTTATTGTATGTCAGTTACACCTTCATAAAGCTGTAAAACCTTGAGTCATCCTGTGTGCATCTAAGGAGGGGCAGCAGCGGGGCTCGCGTCTGGAGCTTGGAGGGCAGTTAGGGATGAGTGGTGGAGGGCGTGGGGCTGTAAGCTGTGGCCAGGTGTGAGCCTGGGAGCGTGGGCTCTGGAGCACAGCCTGGAGCACTCCCACCCAGGACCAGGGCGGGCAGGCAAGCTTGCTGCTGGTCTCCGGTGTCATCACGGTGCTGTTCAGGGGAGCCTGGGCTTAGATGACCCCTTGGCCTGGAGCCTCACATCTGTGCTTGGGGACAGGAGGACGTCGCTGGCGCCTGCGGCCTCCCTCTCGGGCACAGGACCCAGTCCCACAGGGGCGCCTGCCTGCCCAGCCTGCACGGCGTGCTCACTGGGTGGGGAGCATGGAAGGTGCCCCCGGCGCGGGAGCTGAGAGAGGTGAGGCGTCACCCTGCAGACCAGCCTCTCAGATGCAGCCCGCGTCCCAGGGTCCTCCCTCTCTGGCACCTCCGCTACTTCAGAAGTGAGCCTGACGTGAGACCTGGGTTTCCAGCGGCTCCAATTTCTGAGAGTTCACCTTCACCTCTCATCCGGGTGGGGCCCCTGCCCTCAAGGCTGCCTGCTTGAGGCCAGTCAGAAGCAGCATGTGTGTCTGTGTGTGTGTGTGTGTCTGCATGTGTGTATGTGAGAAACTGCATGTGTGTGCAAGTGTGTTTATGAGTGCATGTGTGTACATGCATCTGTGACTACATGTGTGCATGTGAGAATGACCGTTGGTGTGCATGTGTGAGTACATGTGCATGAGTGCATCTGAGTGCGAGTGCATGTGTGCAGTGTGCATGTGTGTGCATGTCTGTGAGTGCATGTGTGAGTGCATGTGTGTACATTTGAGTGCATGTGTGTGAGTGCATGTGAGTACATTTGTGAGTGCATGTGCGTGAGTGCATGTGTGTGTGCATGTGTGACTGCATGTGTGAGTGCATTTGTGTGCGCATGTGTGTGAATGCACGTGTGAGTGCATGCGTGTCTGTGAGTGTGAGTGTGTGTGTGTGTGTGTGTATCTGTATTACTCGGTTTTCTGCTCACAGGAGCATGCCGTCGGCACACGGACAGTGTGACTGCTTCCTTTCCAAGCTGGATACCATTTGTTTTCTTGCCAAGCTGCTCCGGCTAAAACGTCCAGCACGGCGTGGAGAAATGGTGAGGGCAGACGTGGCTGCCTTGTCCCTGACCCCAGGGGAAGCTCTCAGCGTCTGCCACTTGAGTATGACCGTGACTGTGGGGTTCCGGTAAATGCCCTCCCTCAGGTTAAGGAAAGTTCCCCTCTATTCAAAGGTTGAATCGTTTTATCATGGTAGGGTTGGCTTTTGCCAAATGGTTTTTCTGAGTTTATTGAGATAATCGTGTGATTTGGGGCCTTTGTTCCGTTAATATGGCTGGTGCATTGCAGTGATTTTCATATGTTGACCCATTTTTACAGCCCTGAGGTGAATCCAGTCCGTTGTGGTGCAGGGTCCTTTTTCTGGGACAGACTGACTTGCTAGCATATTTTGAGTTTGCATCAATGTTTGTAAAGGATATCAGCATGTTGTTTTCCGTGTTCATAAAGGGTGTCCGCGCACTGCTCTCTACGAAAAGGCGTTGGCACGCTGTTTTCCGTTTGTAAAGGGCATCGGTGTGCTGTTTTCTTGTAATATTTTTGTCTGGCTTTGGTATCAGGGTAGTGGTGGCCTCGGAATGGGCTGGGAAGTGTTCCTCCTCTTGTACTTTTTGGAAGAGTTTGAAGGATTGGCATTAGTTAATTCTTTGAACATCCGGCAGAATCAGCAGGGACGTGGTCTGGTGCTGGGCTTTTTCTTGTGAGTGATTTGTATTTTGTTTCTTTCTGAGTCCGTTCTCTTGGCTTACATCCTTCCAGGACTTGTGTGTTTCATCCAAGGTGTCTCATCATTCTCCACGTCCTTTTACGCTATTTCATGTTTTTCTCCAGATTGAAAGTGGCATGTTTATTTTGGGTTTTCACAGACAGCTTACCACCCATCAGAAGCAGAGAGGAGTCCTTTTGTGAGGCATAGCCAGCGAGCTCGGCAGGGGCCGGGTTTGGCCACTGGCTTCCCGCCGCCCCCTCCCCTCATCGGTCAGCCGTGGGCCCAGACACGTCAGCCCCGTTGTGAAGCCCCCCGAGCCCCCTTCCCTGTGGAGGAGAGACATGGATTCATGTGTCACCTTCTTGTGACACTTTGTGGAGATAAACTGTAGGCTGTTTGTGGCACGCTGTTCTTTCTGCTGACTCTGTCAATGTTAATTGCTTCTAGGTTTTCACCTCGAATGGCCCGACGGTGATCATGCCCACCTGGTTCTGCTCTCGCGCGTGGTTTTCCCACGTGGGCCCCTTTGACGAGGGAGGTCGGGTAAGTGCCGAGACACGGGAGACCCTGGGTTCGGGGCCTGCCTGCCGTGGGTTCTGCACACTGGCCTCTGGGGCTCTGCAGACCTAGGAAATCCCTTCCCCAAGGGTCTTCCCGGGGCCCCTCCTGGCGCCCGCCAGCATCTCGGTCATTTTGCCAGAAGTAGGGGGCTTCCGCATGAAGGCTGTGGATGCCCCGGGCATCAGCCCCTGACCTACACCGGCCCTGAGTGAACTCATCCTGGTGTGTGGGGAAGTGCAGGACACAGAAGCTGTTGGCCAGGCTGTTTCTGGGACAAGAGAGAGAGAAGAGGCACCCGTCCTCCCCATCAGGGTGCACACACAGGCGTCCATGTCCCGTCCTCCCCATCAGGGCACACACACAGGCGTCCGTGTCCCGTCTTCCCCATCAGGGCACACACACAGGCGTCCGTGTCCCGTCCTCCCCATCAGGGCACACACACAGGCGTCCGTGTCCCGTCCTCCCCATCAGGGCACACACACAGGCGTCCGTGTCCCGTCCTCCCCATCAGGGCACACACACAGGCGTCCGTGTCCCGTCTTCCCCATCAGGGCACACACACAGGCGTCCGTGTCCCGTCCTCCCCATCAGGGCACACACAGGCGTCCGTGTCCCGTCCTCCCCATCAGGGCACACACAGGCGTCCGTGTCCCGTCCTCCCCATCAGGGCACACACACAGGCGTCCGTGTCCCGTCTTCCCCATCAGGGCACACACACAGGCGTCCGTGTCCCGTCCTCCCCATCAGGGCACACACACAGGCGTCCGTGTCCCGTCCTCCCCATCAGGGCACACACACAGGCGTCCGTGTCCCGTCTTCCCCATCAGGGCACACACAGGCGTCCGTGTCCCGTCTTCCCCATCAGGGCACACACAGGCGTCCGTGTCCCGTCCTCCCCATCAGGGTGCACACACAGGCGTCCGTGTCCCGTCTTCCCCGTCGGGGTGCACACACAGGCGTCCGTGTCCCGTCTTCCCCATCAGGTTACACACACAGGCGTCCGTGTCCCATCTTCCCCGTCGGGGTGCACACACAGGCGTCCGTGTCCCGTCCTCCCCATCAGGGTGCACACACAGGCGTCCGTGTCCCGTCTTCCCCGTCGGGGTGCACACACAGGCGTCCGTGTCCCGTCTTCCCCATCAGGTTACACACACAGGCGTCCGTGTCCCGTCTTCCCCGTCAGGGTGCACACACAGGCGTCCGTGTCCCGTCCTCCCCGTCGGGGTGCACACACAGGCGTCCGTGTCCCGTCCTCCCCATCAGGGTGCACACACAGGCGTCCGTGTCCCGTCCTCCCCATCAGGGTGCACACACAGGCGTCCGTGTCCCGTCCTCCCCATCAGGGTGCACACACAGGCGTCCGTGTCCCGTCCTTCCCCGTCGGGGTGCACCCACAAGTGTCTGTGTCCACACCATGCTGGCTCCAGCCTCTGCCTCCCTGTGGGGACTGAGGAGCCCAGGGCTGGGGCATCACCCACAGGAGCTGGCCACGCTTGCCCACACCAGTCTCTAGTAGCAGGGAGCCTGGACACAGAGACCAGTGGAGGGTCTGATATAGGGTTCCTGGGGGTCCGGACACCCCAGGCCAATGACTGGAGTCCAGTCTCCACCTCCTACTCTAGTGACTGGGGCTAAGGCCAGGGGCTCAGGGTTTTGAGCTGTGATGAGGCCACGGCTGGAGGGGCCTGCCTTGGGTGACAGGGATGACAGCAGTGTCTGCCACTAACACGGGGACAGATAGTGTTTCCTTGGTTCCTGCCAATTTGTCCCCAAAGAAATTAATCCAGCGGAAGTCACAAGGCGCCCTGTGAGCCAGAGGCTCGGTCTGGGGCTGATCCTCCGCCATCTCTCTGTGGGCCTCGGGCAGCTGAAGGGCAGGGACCATCGAGGTGGGTGTGGGCAGGGCGGACCCCAAGGTGGCCACACGTGGAGGCCGAGCCAGAGCCAAGGGGCCTGCAGGAACGGTCACCATGAGCTGAAACGTGCCAGACGGGAGATGCTTAACTGGAAAGTGCACTGTTTCTGCGTTCACAGCGGCTGGTGGGAGGGCTGCAGGTGAGCCTGGGAATCGGGGTGGCTGTGGCAGTGCCTGACAACACCCAGCTTTGTTAGGGGGCCCCTGTGGGCAAGCACCACAGGCCCTTAAATAAAGAGAAACAGACATATAACGGAATATAGGGGCTCATACCTGTAGTCCCACGAGCTCAAGAGGCAAAGGCAAGAGTGCCCATTGAGGCCAGGGGTTTGAGACCAGCCTGGTAGCACTGGGAAACCCCGTTTCTAACAAAACCAAACAAAGCAAAAGCGGGTTTCTGAGGGCGGTCTGGCCTGAAGGAAGCTATCGTTGCCACAGGAAGGGCTCAAATCACCCAGCACAACAGCCACACCTCAGGCGTTTTTCTGTCTATGCCGCACGTTCCTAGGGTTGGACACGTGACGGCAGGCGCACGTTCAGGTTTGTGAGCCAGGACTCCTGGGCGGCGCCTCGGGCCCCTGAGGAAGCTGTTGGCCAGGCTGTCTCTGGGACAAGAGAGGGAGCAGAGGCACCCATCTTCCCCATTGGGGTGCACCTGCAAGTGTCTGTGCCCTGTCCTGCAGGTGACACGCCGTCTGCACAGGAGTTCCCGTTGCTCAAGCTCCTCGCTGGCCCCTCGCCAGGCTTTGGTGGTGTCCGACTTTTGAATTTGGCCTGTTCTAGTCGGAGTTCACGGTTTCCCACCCTGCTCACACTCTGCACGTCCGCGATGACTCAGGGCGTTGGAGGGTGTCTCACCTGGTAACTGGCTGCTTTCGTGTTGCTTTATGATGTGTCTGGCGCGTTGGCCTGTTCTTACGAGGCCGTCTTTTCATCACTGGATGGCAGGTGTTCTTGCCAGACGTTTACTCTGTGACTATTCCCTCCCGTTTTGGTCTCAGTCTGAGACCACCCGTGCCCCCTGGTGCTCTGCTTGTCCCGGATTCCGCCCCCAGTTCTGCCCTCCTTGCCTTGCAGTCCGCTTCCCCAGGCTCCAGCTGCAGAGTTTCCACCGAAGGCGCCGGCTGCCCAGCCTCTGACAGCCTGGAGCCATCACCTGCTTTTGCATTTTCAAAATTTCTCTGCACATTGGAGGAGGTTTGCATTTTATTCTAATGGTTATGTCTGTACTTAACCCTTTTTAAACATCTTTAGTCCCCCACATAGTGCCCACACAACAGTCAGCGAATTACTGTTTTCCTGTTTTTCTTTCCCCTTTCCCCTCTTCCCATTTGTTTTTATTTTTGAGACAGAGTTTCACTGTCCTTGCCCAGGCTGCAGTGCAATGGCGCAATCTCTGCTCACTGCAGCCTCCGCCTCCCAGGTTGAAGCCAGTCTCCTGCCTCGGCCTCCTGTGTAGCTGGGACTACAGGCACGCACCACCATGCCTGGCTAAGTTTTGTCTTTTCAGTAGAGACGAGGCTTCACCATGTTGGCCAGGCTGGTCTCGAACTCCCGACCTCAGGTGATCCACCTGCCTCAGCCTCCACAGTGCTGGGATGACAGGTGCGAGCCTCCGTGCCCGGCCCCTCCTCACATTTTTTGTTACATTGTTTCTACTTAGGTCAGAGGATGAACATTCACATCTAGTTTCCACCCCATCCCTAACCCAGCGCCTCCCACCTGCAATCACAGCCAGCGTCCACCATCGGGGCTCTGGCAGAGGCGTCTGGTCCCCGTGAGGCTGCGTTCTCAGAACTGTGCTCTGGGCCTGGTGCTGCAGGAAGCGTCTGGCTGTGCGGAACGTCCTCGTTTCACGTGCCGTTCCGTGGCTGCCTCGCACGTTCGTTTTGAGAGGCCCAGTGTGCGCTGATCTTGTCTTTGTAAGTGGTGTGACCTTCTTGCCTGGAGACTCTGAGAGTCGTTTTTTATTGCTGGAGTCTTAACAGTTTGACGAGGATTTGTCTTCCCGTCACCTGACGCGGCTTCTCAATATGCAGAAGCAGATCTGCTAATATTCCTGGAGATTTTTCGTGGATTGCACCGTTTCGTTTTTCTGTTTTAAAGACTCCAGCTCTACATTGGTTAGGGTTTCTTAGTCTCCTGTTTCAACCACTTTGTCTCTAAGCCTTTCACTTCTTTCATTAGTTAATGTCCATTGTCCTGGTTATTTTCCCACCTTTCTCGGGTATCCCTTATTACATTTTTACTAAAATGTATCTTCTCTTAAGGATCTTGTGATTTAGTCTTCGCTCCTTTTTGGTTTCTTTCCTGAGGCAGGAGTCTCAGCTCACCACAACCTTCGCTGCTGGCCTCTTGCTACTCCGGTTCAAGCAGTTCCTGCACCTCAGCCTCCTGCGTAGCTGGGACTACAGGTGCCCAGCACCACATCTGGCTACTTTTTTCCGTATTTTTGGTAGCGACAGGGTTTTGACGTGTTGCCCAGGCTGGTCTCAAACTCCTGGGCTCAAGCAACCACCCCCCACCTCCGACCTCCGACCTCCCAAGTGCTGGGGTTAAAGCCGTGGGCCACCACAGCCAACCAATTTTGTCTCTCCTTAAAATTTCTTTAGTCCAATCGACCCAATTATACATAAAAGCTTTATTGAGGTATAATTCACACGCATACAATTCTCCTATTCAAATGTGCAATTCATGTTAGCTAATTTATAGGGCTGTACAGTCACCATCTGCCATCTCCCTAGAACGTTTTCATCCCCTGAAAAACGCCTCCTGTTCCCGGGAGCACAGTGCGTCTGCCCAGCACCGCCAGCCCTGGCCGAGGCCTGCACCCTTCCTCAGTACCTATTTATGTCCACCCCAGAGGGGCCAGGTTTCCCGTAGTCTTGGGGTTTCTGATTCAAGCTGGGTCTCCACCAGCTCCCTGCACATCCCACCCCACAGCCTGAAACGTTGAGGTTGTGGAATTTATCCTGGCCGGTTATTTACCGCGTTTTTTCTCTTCCTGGTTTGGGGGTTTGTTGTTATTGTAGGGGGAGAGGCTGAATTTTTATCCTCGGAAGTGTCTGCAGTTTTTAGTTTTCTCTGCTGCTTTTGGTGCAGAAGAGACTTCATTTCCCTGAGTTCTGCGAGCTGCAGTCACTGGGCCCCGGCTCAGGCTCTCCCCCTGCTGTCCCCGAGTGGTGACTGCTGCTTCCTCCTGGAAGTGTGTGCTGGGGACGGCCCGGAGAGGGGTGCGCGGTGCCGGGGACGGGCCCGGAGAGGGGTGCGCGGTGCCGGGGACGGGCCCGGAGAGGGGTGCGCGGTGCCGGGGACGGGCCCGGAGAGGGGTGCGCGGTGCCGGGGACGGGCCCGGAGAGGGGTGCGCGGTGCCGGGGACGGGCCCGGAGTGGGGTGCGCGGTGCCGGGGACGGGCCCGGAGGGGGGTGCGCGGTGCCGGGGACGGGCCCGGAGAGGGGTGCGCGGTGCCGGGGACGGGCCCGGAGAGGGGTGCGCGGTGCCGGGGACGGGCCCGGAGAGGGGTGCGCGGTGCCGGGGACGGGCCCGGAGAGGGGTGCGCGGTGCCGGGGACGGGCCCGGAGTGGGGTGCGCGGTGCCGGGGACGGGCCCGGAGGGGGGTGCGCGGTGCCGGGGACGGGCCCGGAGAGGGGTGCGCGGTGCCGGGGACGGGCCCGGAGAGGGGTGCGCGGTGCCGGGGACGGGCCCGGAGGGGGGTGCGCGGTGCCGGGGACGGGCCCGGAGAGGGGTGCGCGGTGCCGGGGACGGGCCCGGAGGGGGGTGCGCGGTGCCGGGGACGGGCCCGGAGGGGGGTGCGCGGTGCCGGGGACGGGCCCGGAGGGGGGTGCGCGGTGCCGGGGACGGGCCCGGAGGGGGGTGCGCGGTGCCGGGGACGGGCCCGGAGAGGGGTGCGCGGTGCCGGGGACGGGCCCGGAGAGGGGTGCGCGGTGCCGGGGACGGGCCCGGAGAGGGGTGCGCGGTGCCGGGGACGGGCCCGGAGGGGGGTGCGCGGTGCCGGGGACGGGCCCGGAGAGGGGTGCGCGGTGCCGGGGACGGGCCCGGAGAGGGGTGCGCGGTGCCGGGGAGGGGCCCGGAGGGGGGGTGCGCGGTGCCGGGGACGGGCCCGGAGGGGGGTGCGCGGTGCCGGGGACGGGCCCGGAGGGGGGTGCGCGGTGCCGGGGACGGGCCCGGAGGAGCACACACGTGCCTGACTCCGCTTCCTCGTGCCTCCTGGGATCCGAGCCTCCAGAGCCTCGGGCCCCGCCTTCCTGGGCTTTAGCTCGCGCTGTCCTCCTCCAGGCAGTTCTGGGCACTCCACCCCCAAAGGCTGCCCGAGGACGGTCCTGGGAGCCCGCATCTTCCCTGACGCCTCCCCTCCCCTGCGCACTGCCAGGGACCCCTCCTCCCCACCCCAGCGCATTCCAGGCACCTGCAGGCTGGTCGGGAAAAGCCTACGGGAGGAGGAGGCCATTTCAGGCCCCTCAGGTCCCAGCAGGAGCAGTCGCGCGACAGGACGGAAAAGGGGACAGGCCCCGTGCTCACAGCGCCCCTCCTCCCGGGGCCGAGGCACCGCAAGGAGCTGCTGTGGAATAAATTCTCACTTCATTGCCAGAAAATAGGAAAACCCCTAGGGTTGTGTTCCTCCTGGTGATAGGAAGAGAGAAACCTCTTTCCTCCTCGTAAACTTGTAACGTGTTCAGAGTTCCAGGGCTCTTTAGAGTTGCCTTTGAAAACATAGAAAATTAGAGAAAATATCTCAATGACCCGTGAGGAACTGTGCCACCCTCCCCGTGGGACCCTTCACCCTGAAGCACCAAGGGTCTCTGTCCACCAGCACCCATAGGAGCCTCCACCCTCAATCACCCGAGTGAGGGACTCTATCCAGCGCCTGCGGGAACCTCTGTCCTGATCACCCGAGTGAGGGACCCCGTCCACCAGCACCCGTGGGAGCCTCTGCCCTAAATCACCCGAGTGAGGGACCCCGTCCACCAGCACCCATAGGAGCCTCCGCCCTCAATCACCCGAGGGACCCCGTCCACCAGCACCCGTGGGAGCCTCTGCCCTAAATCACCCGAGTGAGGGACCCCGTCCACCAGCACCCATAGGAGCCTCCGCCCTCAATCACCCGAGGGACCCCGTCCACCAGCACCCGTGGGAGCCTCCACTCCATGTCACGCAGCATCGTAGCGCCTGGGCTTCAGTGACTCCTTTGTCTTTGTCGTTTGGTGGGTAAACTTTTAGCAGGGCTGTCAGCATGATTTTGAGGTCTGCTCTTTACGTCAGCATCTTGTTACGAATCTTTCTGTGTCGTCATGGCTTTTGTAAAAGGGATTTCATACCCTTCCGGTGCCCGCAGGGCCCCGCAGAGGCGCGGGTTCCATGGTGTGCGGTTAAAAGGTTGGACGTGGAACCACAGCACTGTCTGCCTGTCCTGGGAGCAAACAGGCCAGCAGTCTGGCCGCGATACTTTGGGGCTTTTACTGACCTGCACTTGAAGTTTGAGCGTTTGGCTGAGGAGAGGAGGCTGGACTGCTAGACTCTCAGAAAACCCACCCTCTCCTGGAGCAAAGGCGTCTCCGGGCAGCTGCAGCAGAGCCATGAGGAGACCCGACCCCAAGCCCTGCCCATCCCCCAGCTTTTATGCTGGAATTTAAAGACAGCAGCACAAGGCCAGAGCCCGGACCCGCGGCTTCACCACAGCCTGGGCTGAGGACTGGGGTCTGCCCAGGAGGGGAGTGGGCCGAGGGCAGGGGCCGCCTCCCTCCTGGTCAGGCAGAGGCTGTTGGGATTATGGGCTGGGGGAGGGAGGGTCCAGGTTCTCAGGACAGAAAAGACCAGTGGGAATGCCTGCAGAATGTTCCGGAGCAGAATTCCCATTGACACGGAGGGAGTGTTCATGGATCAGCCCCGTGGGCTGAGGTTCAAGGTTTTGAGCTTAGACAAGTGAGCAGGGCTGCCTCCCCCACGCGCCCACCCAGCACCACGGCCCCGGGGCTGCCTCCCCCACGCGCCCACCCAGCACCACGGCCCCGGGGCTGCCTCCCCCACGCGCCCACCCAGCACCACGGCCCCGGGGCTGCCTCCCCCATGCGCCCACCCAGCACCACGGCCCCGGGGCTGCCTCCCCCACAGCTGAGCTTCCCTGAGCCTCTGGGCTGCGGCCACTGGCAGGAAAGGATCGGATGAGCCGCCCAGGAGCTGTGAGACCCAGACCCACCCCAGCCCCTTCCTCGGCTGTCTATCTTCCTCTTTGCCTGAGACCTTTGCTGCCGAACGTGGAATTTGGGGCGAAGCGAAGAGCCGGCCCACTGTCTGCTTCCCCTGGTGCCAGGCCTTGCGAGGACTCAGTTTCACGTCGGTTGCTCACGCCTTTTGTGGTCGCTGCCCCACATCCCTGCTGAGCCTCTAAACTGGTTTCTTTGCAACAAAAGCTTTTCCACCGGTTCCTGGCTGGCCGGGTGAGCACAGGTGTGGTGCACCTGAGAGCCCCGACGACGCCCCCGCGTCTCTCGCCATTTCTCTCGCGCTGCAGGGTGTCCCTGAGGACCTGCTGTTCTTCTACGAGCACCTCAGGAAGGGCGGCGGCGTCATCCGCGTGGACCAGAGTCTCCTGCTCTACCGCTACCACCCGCAGGCGGCCACACACTCCGTCCTCGAGTGAGCCGCCCCACCGGGCCCTGGGACGCCTGGGAGGCCCAGGAAGGCAGGAGGCATCTGGGGTTGGGGCTGGGGCTAGTGGGGCCGACGCCGGAGGCCGTGGTCGGGGCTCTGCCTTGAGATACAGGGTCTGGTGGGAAAACGGACACTCGCTGCATCCCCAGGGTGCTGGGGGCTTGGCGTTCGTGCAGCGGTGGTTCCCAGAGGCACCAGGGAGCACCAGGGTGAATGTCCTTCCCGTGTCTGAGAGGTTAAACGACCACGCTGGTGCTGCGCTGGGTCCCTTTGGAATCCTGCTCTCCTTTTAACCTGACAGGAGTCTCATGAGGGGGGTGATGCTGGCTGGGACGACAGGCCTGAGGGAGCGCGGCTGCCATGGGGGGTGGCGGAGGCACGGCCTGGGGATCACAGCACCCAGTGAGGACGCGCCCAGGCTGCGGGGCCCAGCTTCCTCCCCCACGTTGCCATCAGGCGCAGCCACGTGGGCCTGGAGATGCCGCGTGGCTGCACTGGAGCCGTGGCGGGTGAGGTAGATCTGTGAAACTGCCACGTCTGGAATTCTTCCTTAGAGCGTGCGGCACACGCAGGCCTCGGCCACCCGGGTGCTGCTGCCGGCGCTGGGTCGGTGCACAGGCTGCTGTCCAAGGCCGGCATCGTGGCCATGCTCGCTGCACACATGCACGTAAATGGCATGCACACACATTCACACAGTACATGCAGGCAAACACACTCACTGCATCTGTGCACTCATGCCGTACATGCACACTGCATATGTGCACACGAGCTCACTGCATACATGCACTCATGCTATACATGCACACTGCATCTGTGCACACTCACTGCATGCATGCACACATGACATACGCTCACTGCATGCATGTGCCATCACTGCACACACGGGCACACATGCATGTACACGCATCTGCACAGTACGGACATGTACTCCCTGCACAAAGGCACACACTGTGCACATGCCGTACACACCCACACACACACAGGTGCATGCTTCAGTGCCCTCTAGTCACTGATGGGGACACGATGTCCCTGCGTCCCAGGCAGGGTTGGGAGTTGAGGCAGCTGCAGAAGCCGGGGAGGAAAAGGTGGACTCCAGGTGGGACCTCCCTGACACCTCCTAAGCCTGCAGCTCCCCCCATCCCACTGCCTGTGGGGGCTCTCCTGCAAATGGGGTGCCGCAGGGTTGGGGGGAGTCAAAAGTCAGCCGGGTGGCCACCAGGATCCCACAGGTTCTGAGCAGGTGTCAGCCCTGCTCAGGCAGCTCCTTCCCCACAGCCCCTTTCCTGTCAGGGGCCTAAGGGGCAGCACGCCCCACTACCCCCCACCCTTCCCCGCACCGTTCACCCCACTTCTCCCCCACCCTTTGACCCCGACCCTGGGATCGTCTGTCTAGGAAGGTCACGTCCTGCATTCTCTACTTTAACTGGAAAAAGCACCAACTGTGCGTTGCTGAGGCTCCCGGCCTCTTTGCGTCTCTTTCAGACTTCGCTGCGTGAAGTCCGTCGCTCTCTGGTCCTCGGGAGCGGCTCTCATTTTCTCGGACGGTGCCAGAGCCGTGCGTTGCCTGGCTGTGCCTGGGTGGTGTTTCGGGGGCTGAAGTACATCCGGCTTGCGCGTTTCTCTCAGAAATGTGCTAAACGGCCACACGACAGATTGTCGAGGTCCAGGGTGAGCCCAGAGCTCCTGGGGGGTCCCACTGAAATCTCAGAAGCCCAGCACCACCCCGTGACTAAAGCATCTACGTGGACCCTGGGAGGCGGTAAATCACAGAATAGCCGAATCCTGCCCCAGTCCCGAGGCTGAACCCACGAGGGCCTGTCGGGGGACCCGTCACCAGTGTCGTGACTCCGAGACCCAGCGAGGCCCAGACCCCACCCCGGAGGAGCTTCCCAGGGACACAGCTCCCTTGACAGAGCAGAGGGCACCCCGGACTTGGCCAGGTCGGGGTCTGCCGGGCACGGGTCAGCATGGCTGCACCACAGCAGTTGGGGAGGGCGGCGTCGGGGACGCATCCCAGGCCGATCTGGCTTCTGTGTCCCTTAGCCTCTCTAGCTCCTGGGGCTTCAAAATGGGGTCAGCCTGGGCGGCTGGAGGGAGAGGCCCCCACAGGTGGCGGCCAACAGCAATGGGGGCGCGTGGGGAGGGGCTGGGGCGGGAGGACAGAGGGTGGGGCGGGAAGGGCCTGGCCCAGCTGGGGGTCCGGGCAGTGATGGGGCTGGCCAGAGCAGCGGGTCACAGGAAGGAGCCTGTCCCCAGGACAGCGACCCAGGGTCTGCCTGTCACAGCAGAGGCAGAAAGAACAGAGACTAGGGGCCCAGGGGAGTGGAAGCGTTCTGAGGGCAGCAACCCCGAGGCAGGTTTCGTCCACGTGTGAATGCTGCGATTTTATGGGATGGGCGCGTGTGCCCTTCAGGCCCTGGTCCCGGGCTGAAGGACGGCTGACCACAGCCTTCCCCCTCGGCCTGCAGCTCCCCCCACCTGCGCCGTGCCGCCTCCTCCGGGCCCTTATGGACGGAGGTTTCAATGGGAAACCGGAATTGGGTCAAGTCCAGTCCTCTGCGTCCCACAGAAATTCTGCGTTCCAGAACCTTCCAGATGGAAGGCGGGTCCCTGCCTAGGAGTGTGGCTGCCTCCAGCTGGGACAGGTGACTCGGGCAGCCAGTATCTCAGGCACCCGGCCGATGCCCACCCCCCTCCGCCCTGGCAGCGGCGCCTGTGTCGGTCTCTGGGGCCGAGAGGGCACGAGGAGGCGCGGGGGCCCCCTGCCAGTCACCCTCCTCTCCTCCGAAGGGCGACCATCTGGACCCACCGTGTCCGCTTCCTGGAGGAGCAGGCCCTGCCCCGCTGGGCAGCCTTCACCATCTGGAACGCCGGCAAGCAGGGGCGCCGGCTCTACCGCAGCCTGACCGCCGCCAACCGGCACAAGGTGGGAACCGGGTCCCCCGCCCCGCCCATTGCACTGCCCTGAGGCACAGATCCCAGCCAGTCCAGAGCTGCCCTTCTGTGTCTGTCCCCAGGTGGTGGCATTCTGTGACGTGGACGAGAAGAAGATCAGGAAAGGCTTCTACTGCCACGAGGACTCCCAGGTGTGCGGGGCCGTGCGGCGTCACCCTCGGGTCACCCGCCTCCTCCGGGCCTCCGGGGAGCCCAGCCCCCATCCCTTGAGGGAGAACCCCGCTCTCCCTCACGGGTCTGGGACTTGAGTAGCCCACCCTGGTCAGTTCTGCAGTCGGCTGTCGCGGGGCCGGGCGGGGTGGTGGGGACCCCCAGCTCCGTGTGAGCAGAATCAGTGGCTGCGCACGCCCCAGGGGCGGCTCTCCTGGGACGGCAGGACTGATGGCCGCTCTTACTCTAAGGAAAGGCCCAAGCCCCGCATCCCCATCCTGCACTTCCGGGCTGCCCGGCCACCCTTCATCATCTGCGTGAAGCTGGTGAGTGTGGGGCCCTAGGAAGCGGGTGGCGGGGTCGGGGGACGCTGCAGGTTTCGGGTTCTGCCCCATGGACACCCACCTTGCCATGCAATGACTGTGTGGCCTGGGACGAGCCCCCAGCCATGCCATGGTGGGTGTGGGGACAGGTGCTGCGGCCGTCCACAGTGGCACCACAGGCCGGGCCGGGGACGGCGGCCCATGCCCTGGGCAGCTGGAGGGTGGCCTGCACGGGCGTGGGGAGATGGATGCCTGTCTCTCTTCTGTCTTTCCTGTGAAGCCAGCATTTGTTAGAAACTTGCAAAGCACGGGCTGAGATGCCAGGTCTGAGAGGCCAAGGCCAGGACCTTCAGCTCCTGTGGACTGAGGTGGCCATACCAGGGGTGTCCTAAGCCCCCGAGCGTGAACGAGCCTCACCTGGGGTGGGCACGTGACGGGCGCTTTGGGCTCCACATGCAGCCTTTTTCCCCAAATGTGGGGAGTCCAGGCTGGCTGCGGGGAGGGCTGGGGTGAGTGGGTTTTTTTGTTTTTTTATTGACGTTCTGGGATACAGGTGCTGAGTATGAATGTGCAGGTTCGTCACATAGTTATGTATGTGTCACTGTGGCCTGCTGCACCTGTCAACCTGTCATCTAGGTTTTAAGCCCTGCACACGTTAGTATTTGTTCTAATGCTCTCCCTTTCCTTGTTCCCAACCCCCCGACAGACCCTAGTGTCTGATGCTCCCCTCCCTGTGTCCATGTGTTCTCATTGTTCAGCTCCCACTTTGATGAGAACATGTGGCATTTGGTTTTCTGTTCCTGTGTTAGTTTCCTAAGGATGGATTCCAGCTACATCCGTGTTCCTGCAAAGGACACAAACACATTCTTTTTTATGGCTGCATAGTATTCCATGGTGTCCATGTGCCACAGTTTTTTATCCAGTTTATGACTGATGGGCATTTGGGTGGTTCAAAGTCTTTGCTATTGTGAACAGTGCTGCAAAAAACGTATGTGTGCATGTGTCTTTATCGAATAACTTATAATCCTTTGGGTATACCAGTAATGGAACTGCTGGGTCAAATAGCATTTCTGGTTCTAGATCCTTGAGGAACTGCCACACTGTCTTGCACAATGAACTGATTTACACTCCAACCAAGAGTATAAAAGTGCTCCTATTTCTCCCATCATGCCAGCATCTGCTGTTTCCTGACTTTTTAATGACTGCCGTTCTAAGTGGCATGAGATGGTGTCTCACTGTGGTTTTGATGTGCATGTCTCTAATGACCAGTGATGACGAGCTTTTCTTCATATGTTTGTTGGCCGCATAAATGTCTTTTTTTTTTTTTTTTTTTTGAGACGGAGTTTCGCTCTTGTTACCCAGGCTAGAGTGCAATGGCGCGATCTCGGCTCACCGCAACCTCCGCCTCCTGGGCTCAGGCAATTCTCCTGCGTCAGCCTCCTGAGTAGCTGGGATTACAGGCACGTGCCACCATGCCCAGCTAATTTTTTGTATCTTTAGTAGAGACGGGGTTTCACCATGTTGACCAGGATGGTCTCGATCTCTCGACCTCGTGATCCACCCGCCTCAGCCTCCCAAAGTGCTGGGATTACAGGCTTGAGCCACCGCGCCCGGCTAAATGTCGTCTTTTGAGAAGTGTGTTCCTGTCCTTTGCCCGCTTTTGGATGGGGGTTTTTTCTTGTAAATTTAGGTTCCTTGTAGATTCTAGATATTAGACCTTTGTCAGACGGACAGACTGCAGAAATCTCCCATTCTGTAGGCTGCCTGTTCACTCTGATGGTGGGTCCTTTTACTGTGCAGAATCTCTTTAATTAGGTCCCATCCATCAGTTTTGGTTTTTGTTGCCATTGCTTTTGGTAGTTTACTCATGAAGTCTTTGCCAGTGCCTATGTCCCAAATGGTACTGCCTGGGTTTTCATTTAGGGTATTTACGGTTTTAGGTTTGACGTTGAAGTCTTTAATCCATCTTGAGTTCATTTTTGTGTAAGGAAGGGGTCCAGTTTGTTTTCTGCATATGGCTAGCCAGTTTTCCCAGCACCATTTATTAAATAGGGAATCTTTTCCCCATTGCTTGTTTTTGTCAGGTTTGTCAAAAATCAGATGGTTGTAGATGTGTGGTGTTATCTTTGAGGCATCTGTTTAGGTACCAGTTCCATACTGTTTTGGCTACTGCAGCCCTGTAGTATAGTTTGAAGTCAGATAGTTTGATGCCTTCAGCTTTGTTCCTTTTGCTTAGGATTGTCTTGGCTATATAGGCTCTTTTTTGGTTCCCTATGAAATTTCAGGTTTTTTCTAGTTCTGTGAAGAAAGTCGTAGCTTGATGGGAAGAGTACTGAATCTATATATTACTTTATGGCCATTTTCATGATACTGATTCTTCCTATCCACGAGCATGTGAATTTTTTCCATGTGTGCCCCCTCTTATTTCCTTGAGAAGTGGTTTGTAGTTCTCCTTGAAGAGGTCCTTCATGTCCCTTGCAAGTTGCATTCCTAAATATTTTATTTTCTTTGTAGCAATTGTGAATGGGAGTTTGCTCATGATTTGTCTGTCATTATTGGTGTATAGGAATGCTTGTGATTTTTGCATATTGATACTGTATCCTGAGACTTTGCTGAAGTTGCTTATCAGCTTAAGGAGTTTTTGGGCTTGAGACGATGGGGTTTTCTGAATATACAATCATGTCGTCTGCAAAACAGGACAATTTGACTTCCTCTCTTCCTATCTGAATACCCTTTATTTCTTTCTCTTGCCTGCTTGCCCCGGCCAGAACTTCCAATACTATGCTGAACAGGAGTGGTGACAGAGAGCATCCTTGTCTTGTGCTAGGTTTCAAAGGGAATGCTTCCAGCTTCTGCCCATTCGGTATGATATATTGGCTATGGGTTTATCACAAATAGCTCTTACTATTTTATGTTACATCAATACCTAGTTTATTGGGAGTTTTCAGCACAAAGGAGTATAGAATTTTATTGAAGGCCTTTTCTTCATCTATTGAGGGAATCATGTGGTTTTTGTCTTTGGTTCTGTTAATGTGATGTATTACATTTACTGATTTGCGTGTGTTGAACCAGCCTTGCATCCCAGGGATGAAGCTGACTTGATCATGGTGGATAAGCTTTTTGCTGTGCTGCTGGATTCGATTTCCTAGTATTTTATTGAGGATTTTTGCATCAACGTTCATCAAGAATATTGGCCTGAAATTTTCTTTTCTTGTGTCTCTGCCAGGTTCTGGAATCAGGATGATGATGGCCTCATAAAATGAGTTAGGGAGGCGTCCCTCCTCTTCTATCGTTTGGAATAGTTTCAAAAGAAGTTGTATCAGCTCCTGTTTTTACCTCTGGTAGAATTCGGCTGTGAATCCATCTGGTCCTGAGCTTTTTTTTTTGGTTGATAGGCTATTAATTACTGCCTCAATTTCAGAACTTGTTATTGATCTTTTCAGGGATTCAACTTCTTCCTGGTTTAGTCTTTGGAGGGTATGTATACCCAGGAGTTTATCCATTCCATCTAGATTTTCTAGTTTGCATAGAGGCGTTTCCAGTATTCTCTGATGGAAGTTTCTCTTTCTGTGGGATCAGTGGTGATATCCCCTTTATCATTTTTTATTGTGTCTGCTTGATTCTTCTTTTCTTTCTTAGTCTGGCTAGCAGTCTGTTTTGTTAATATTTTCAAAACACTAGCTCCTGGATTCTTTTTTTTTTTTTTTTTTTGAGACGGAATTTCACTTTTGTTACCCAGGCTGGAGTGCAATGGTGCGATCTCGGCTCACCACAACCTTCGCCTCCCGGGTTCAGGCAATTCTCCTGCCTCAGCCTCCTGAGTAGCTGGGATCACAGGCACGTGCCACCATGCCCAGCTAATTTTTTGTATTTTTAGTAGAGACGGGGTTTCACCATGTTGACCAGGATGGTCTCGATCTCTTGACCTCGTGATCCACCCGCCTCGGCCTCCCAAAGTGCTGGGATTACAGGCTTGAGCCACCACGCCGGGCCGGATTCATTGTTTTGAAGGTTTTTTTGTGTCTCTATCTCCTGCAGTTCTGCTCTGATCTTAGTTATTTCTTGTCTTCTGCTGGCTTCTGAATTTACTTGTCCTTGCTTCTCTAGCTCTTTCCATTGTGATGCTAGGGTGTCAATTTTAGATCTTTCCTGCTGTCTGACGTGGGCACTTCGTGCTATAAATTTCCCTCTTGACACTGCTTTAGCTATTCTGGTATGTTTTCTCTCTGTTCTCGCTGGTTTTGAAGAACTTCATTATTTCTGCCTTAATTTCATGATTTACCCAGCAGTCATTCAGGAGAAGGTTGTTCAGTTTCCATGTAGTTGTGCGGTTTTGAGGGTTCTGTTTTGAGACAGTCTCGCTCTGTCCCCCAGGCTGGAGTGCAGTGGCGTGATCTTGGTTCACTGCAACCTCCACCTCCCGGGTTCAAGTAATTTCTCCTGCTTCAGCCTCCTGAGTAGCTGGGACTGCAGCTAATTTTATTAGCATGCCCAGCTAATTTTTGTAATTTTAATAGAGATGGAGTTTCACCATGTTGGCCAGGATGGCGTCGATATCCTGACCTCGTGATCTGCCCGCCTCAGCCTCCCAAAGTTCTGGGATTACAGGCGTGAGCCACTGTGCCCGGCCTTGAGTGAGTTTCTTAATCCTGAGTTCTAATTCGACTGCACTGTGGTCTGAGGGACCATTCTAATTTCTGGTCTTTTCCATTTGCTGAGCAGTGTTTTACTTCCAATTACACGGTCACTCTTAGCTAAGTGCGGTGTGGTGCCGAGAAGAACGTACATTCTGTTGGTTGGGGGTGGAGAGTTCTATGGATGTCCATTAGGTCCACTCGGCCCAGAGCTGAGTTCACATCTTGAATATCCTTGTTAATTTTGTCTCACTGATCTAATATTGACGGTGGGGTTTTAAAAGTCTCCCATTATTATTGTGTGGGAGTCTAAGTCTCTTTGTAGGTCTCTAAGAACTTGTTTTATGAATCTCCTGTCTTGGCTGCATGTATATTTAGGATACTTAGCTCTTGTTGCCTTGATCCCTTTACCATTATGTAATGCCCTTTGTCTTTACCTTTGTTGGTTTAAAGTCTGTTTATCAGAAACTGGGATTGCAACCCCTGTTGTTTTTTTTTGCTTTCCATATCCTTGGTAAGTAACCGAGTGGTTGACGGAGTGAGTCAGGCCCCCAGCGGTACTGTTGAGGGGTTGCAGGGGACACACAGACGTGGGACGCCAGGATGGCTGGACCACCACACCAGGGTGGGTTGTGGTTCCCACCCCACAGAAACTGTGAGGTCAGGGTGTGTTGGACTACACTGCCTGGCCCACGGTGACTTGTCGTACACAACTAATGCAAGTCCAGGCAGCGGAAGGGGAGTCAAACAGAACAGAGCCTCACAGGCCCAGCTTTTTGGCAGAGACTGACGCATCTCATTTTACTGCCCTTCACTATGCGTTTTACAAGTTAAAGGCATATGGCCTCCCCACCAGGGCAGGAGTTACGGGCAGGCAGCCGCCCCACCACCAAGGTAGGAGTTACAGGCAGGCGGCCGCCCCACCACCAGGGCAGGAGTTACAGGCAGGCGGCCGCCCCACCACCAGGGTAGGAGTTACAGGCAGGCGGCCGCCCCACCACCAGGGTAGGAGTTACAGGCATGAGGCCACCCCACCACCAGGGCAGGGGTTACAGGCATCAGGCCGCCCCCCCACCAGGGTAGGAGTTACAGGCGTGAGGCCGCCCCACCACCAGGGTAGGAGTTACAGGCGTGAGGCCGCCCCCCCACCAGGGTAGGAGTTACAGGCGTCAGGCCGCCCCACCACCAGGGCAGGAGTTACAGGCATCAGGCCGCCCCCCCACCAGGGTAGGAGTTACAGGCATGAGGCCGCCCCCCCACCAGGGCAGGGGTTACAGGCATCAGGCCGCCCCCCCACCAGGGCAGGGGTTACAGGCATCAGGCTGCCCCCCCACCAGGGTAGGAGTTACAGGCGTGAGGCCGCCCCCCCACCAGGGCAGGGGTTACAGGCATGAGGCCGCCCGACTGGGGCAGGGGTTACAGGCGTGAGGCCACCCCACCACCAGGGCAGGGGTTACAGGCATGAGGCCGCCTGACTGGGGCAGGGGTTACAGGCAGGCGGCCGCCCCGCTAGAATGAGCCCGTTGGTAGCGCCCCCAGCAGCACGCCTACTTCACGTCTCATTGTGGTGGTTCTCGAAACTCGTCAGACTGTGACTGTGCCTGTCATGGTGACCTGTGATACCACTGTTGTCATTATCTCGGGCACTCATATGAAACTGTGCACTTGATAAATGTGATGTTCTGATGGCTCCGCGGGCCGGCTGTCCCCTCCTCGGGCCCCCTTATTCCCCGAGGCACACATTGTGGCCTACATCCTTTCACAGAGGTTTTGTATTTACATCTTCTGCCCCTTGTCTGGGAATACCACTGATCAGGACCAATTCAATCACATTTTCCACTTTACGAGTTTCAGGAATCTAACAGGTAGTGTGAACGAAGGCCACCTCAGGGGAGACTGAGATAGGAGTCTTGCCCCTGTGTTTCCTTTGCAAACTCCAGAGCAGAGAGACAGGGGAGGAAGGACAGATGGCAGCAGAGTGTGTGGAAATGTGTTCCAGGAAGGAAAACATTTCATTTGAGTGACAGCAGCGGTAGGCATTGTAATGGATTCTCATGTGGCAGGGGTAGGGAGCGCGGCCAGGCTCATACCCTCCTGCTGGGCCCGAGGACAGAGGACTGTGACAGGAATGCATGGTGCCTCCTGCATCCTGCCAGAGGCCAGAGACTCATGTCCACCACTGTGCTGAGCTCTGGCTTCAGGAACTTGTTCAGGAGGTGCTGGGGTGCAAGGCGCATCTGAAAGGCGTTTCTGCACACCTGCTGTGGCCTCATACAGGAGGGCAGGTGACCTGGCCAAGGCCGGCACACAGCACAAGATGGGACATCCAGGGACCTGGCGTCACGCCCTCACTCCACTGCGGGGGTGGGGAGGACAGAGGCCAGCAGCCGATGGTCCCGGGATGCCGTCTCTGTCTCCCGTAGAGGGGTGTGTGTGTGGAGGGAAGGCAGGTCTGCCCTGGATGAACAGCAGAGGCATTGCCCATTAAGTCTCATTCTACTCCGATGGCCCCCAGGGAGTCAGCCACCTTCTCCAGAGAGGCAAGGCCAGGAGGCAGGGGACCTCCCCTGCGGTGACCAACAGGGCCTGCAGTACAAGCAGTGCCCGCTGCTGCCCTCTCTGGCCCTTGTTCTCCACTATTAGCAGAAGAGGAGTTGTTCGTAGTAGACCTCTTGACAGGTGGACACAGGCCACCTCCAAACCCTGGCTCCTGGAGGAGGCTCCGCAGTGGCCTCCGGCAGCCAGGAGAGGCCGGACTGAGCGGAATCTGCCGCTTCCAACAGGACCTCACGGGGGGAGCCTTCGAGGACAACCTGAGGTCGCTGCACTTGCAGGAGGGCCAGGACTTCCTTCACTTCAGCTGACAGACCCAGGCAGCTGCTCCCAGGTAAGTCTTTTCACCGAAGCACCATTTGGGTTCACTGAGTCTCTATTATGCTTTTCACACGTTCTGCTCTTACAGTTATTCTATTTTCTTTACAGCTACTCTGGCTGCTTGTATGTTCAGCTCATTAATTTCCAGCCTTTCTTCTCTCATGTATAATTCAAGACTTCAGAATTGCTTAAGCACCACTTTAGGTGAATGCTACCTGTTGTGATTATTTTATTGGCTTTCATTATATATTTTATAGTTTTATTTCTTTTAAAGATTTTTAAAAAGAGCTTTTAGATGATCAATTTCTTGAATGTTGGCTTTATTGAGACTGTGTTACAAGTGTAGGAAAGTTCTGTCTTCCTTGTTGAACTGAACCTTTAATCGATTCATATAGTAATCGATTCCTAATAACACTATTTGCCTTCCTTTAACTGTAAAACTTTGTCATTGACATAGAGGTTTTAATCCATTTACATTTACTGTGTCCTAATATATTTCTAGTGTTTTTTTTTTGGTTGTTGTTGTTGTTTTTAAAGCTTGTTTTGGCCGGGCACGGTGGCTCACGCCTGTAATCCCAGCACTTTGGGAGGCCGAGGCAGGCGGATCACGAGGTCAAGAGATCGAGACCATCCTGGCCAACATGGTGAAACCCCGTCTCTATTAAAACTACAAAAAAATTAGCTGGGCGTGGTGGCGCACACCTGTAGCCCCAGCTACTCAGGAGGCTGAGGCAGGAGAATTGCTTGAGACCAGGAGGCGGAGGTTGCAGTGAGCCAAGGTCATGCCACTGCACTCTAGCCTGGCGTGCCTGATGATGGAGTGAGACTCTGTCTCCAAAAAAAAAAAAAAGCTTGTTCTGCCTTTTCCTCTTGCCATTCTTGTATATTTTGAGAGTGTATTTTTTATTCTTGTTCCATTTCTCCTCTATTAGCATAGAAGTTTTCTTCCCCATGTATTAACTCTTTGTGTGCAACTCTGAATACTTCAACATGCACACTTAGCTGATCACTGAGTTATCTGCGCTTTGTTCCAGGAAAACGTAAGAACTTAAGATGCTCTAAATTCAGCCACCAACTCTGCCGCTGATTTATATGCTGCTATTGTCCATTTTAAGCAACTCTATGTGCTTTTAAAAAGTCCACAAATAAGCCATCTTTCTATGTTTTTATGGTCACATTTTATTGCTTTCCTTGGTCAACATTCCTCCAACTATCCAACTGTGATCATTTTCCTTCCTGCCTAAAGTTTATCCACCAGAGCAGTGGTTCTTGGCCAGGGATGAATTCACCCCCCAGAAGATAACTGGCAATGTCTGCAGACATTTTTTTCTGTCACAGCTGGGTAGGGGGATGGCTACTGCCATCCGGGATGTTGCTGAACACCCTGTAATACACAGGACAGCGCTCACAACAAATGACTCAACCCCAGCTATTACGCCAAGATTAAGAAATCATACATGCCTTAGAACAGCATATGTTTATCTGAATGACTTAGTTTTGTTCTCTTCTCTAATCTATGCTGTGGGCACAGTGCAAGCAAGTTAACAGCTACTTTCTCAGCATAATGAAGATCTTGGTCTACTTGTTCCTCGGCTCCAGTGCTGCTGCTGGGAAACTGGCAGTTGTCACATCACTCTGTCCCACTTATGGCTCTGCAGTTTCACTGTGACAAGTCTACATGTTTGAGACTGTTAGGCTTCTGTCATCTGGGGACTGTTGCATGTCAGTGTGGAGTATTTGCATCATTTCATTTCATTCTGAGACCCCAGTTATGCAAAGGTTAGACATTCTTCAGTGTCTCTTGATGTTGCTTTCATATTTTCCAGTTCTCCGGATAATTTTTTCAGATCTTCCAGTTTTCTAATTCTCTCTTCAACTGTGTCTAAGCTATCCATTGAGCTTTTAATTTCACTTCTTACGTCTCTAGGGGCTCTCTTTTTTTTTCCCAATCTCTTCTTGATAATTTCTAGCCCTTTTCAAAAGTGTATTCATATTACAGCCTATATTCTTCCAGAGAGGTTTGTATTTGCATCTGCTGCCCCTTGTCTGGGAATACCACTGATCAGGGCCAGTTCAATCAAATTTTCCACTTTAGGAGTTTTGGGGATTATACAGGTAGTACTAATGAAGGCCACTTCAGCGGAGATTGAGATAGGAGTCTTGTTGCTGTACCTTTGAGAAAGATTTATGTAGGGTCCCAGCTTTACGTAGGGTCTCCTATTAGATCTCACCTGGGGCCTCACATTCTCTTTTCCATTCCTGCTATCATCAAAACATCACGACTAGACTTCAGGGCTCAGCAGAAACCCTCAGGGTCTCCAAGGTCTCTGGTCTCACACGGAGGGTTTCTGGTTTGTGCCTAGAACATGTTTTTGGGTGCGCACATCCCATACCAGCTCCCCGGTTCCAGGGATGCTGGCTTCTTCCTGCTCTCTAAACTCACAAAGCTTGTTCCACTTCTGGGACCACAAGCATTCTCTTTTCTGCCATTGGGCATGTTTGTTTGGACTTCTGCCCAAATGCTGCCCCTTCAGAGAGGTTTTCTGAACATCTAGGAGTCAACACTCAGCACACCCTTCCACTGCCCGCTTTGTCTTCTCATGGCACTCAGTGTTGCCTGCCCGATGGTGCTGGCTTGTTCATTTGCTGTTGTCTGCCCCAGCTATCATGTGAGCAAGGGGTTCCTTGCCAAACTCCAGCACCTGGGCCCAGGTGGGCTCCAAAAACAGCTGCTGAATGAAGGAGGGCTTTCCAGGCCCCCAGGTGTCTGGTGAGCAAAGGACCCCAGCAGCAGCGATGGATGGGATCCAGCGGAACAGAGGCACTGGCCAAGTCAGACCCACACTGAAAGAAGAATTGCTTTCCCACACAGTGTCACTGATGGGTCTGGGAGGGGAATCAACCTGCCTCCGTGCCTTAAAATGCCATTTCTCCTAATCATCTTCTGACTGCACTAAGAACAGTTCATGTGTTTTTCTCAGGAGCCACTTGTTCCCTCCATCCTCAGTGCATCCCAGGCTGGCAGGAGCTTAGTGAGCTGCAGGCACAGTGATGGTGCACCCATTCTGCACTTGGCAGGTACAGCCACAGAGTCTCATGTGCGCTGACCACAGGAGCCGAGCCTTTTCCACCGTGTGGACTCATGGCCAAGGCTGGGCCTGGTCACCTAGGATGCTCAGCCAATTAAGGGGACAGAAAACAACTCCCCACTTAGTTTGACAAGGAGGACTGTTTTAAGATTTGAATAAAATAAAATGTTGGGATAAAGATTATTGGCTAGCAGGTCGAGTAGAGGGGCAGTAGTATGCTAACTAACTAAAACTCACACTTCTGTGTGGCTAAGTCACCACATACATCCTGCAAGGACAGTCACAGTCCTGGCCTTGTGGTCCTGATGGCCTCACAGATGTGGGCAGCATCTCCCAGTTCTGGGCCTGCCCCCCTCCTGTGCCCAGGCCCCATCCCCAACGTGAGACAGCAGGCTGGGGAGCTAACCCAGTCTACACTGTGTACCCAGCACCCCTGGGCTCTTCACCCAAGCCCTGCCCTTGGGCCTCTGAGTGACCATACCTGGGGCTTCCTCGGTGCTGCTGGGGGTGGCTCTGCACATCAAACCCTGTGAGCACAGCCCAGGCCCGGGTAGATGGCTGTGGGTAGCTGCCACTGTGAAATCTGTGCATACGTTCCCCTCACCGGCTTTGGGATGGCCCAGCACGAGCTGACAGAGACAAAGGCCACCTCCGCACTGGCTCTAGTAAGACGGTGCCGTCTTTTTGAGAAGGGTACTTCCCACGTTATTGTAGAGGTGCACACACTGGATTCTGATGATTCCCCTTGCGGCAGACATTTGTGAAGTGACTGGTCCGCACACTGTCTATGAGTGACGCCTGCACTGTGTGCCCCATGCCCACATGTGTGCAGATGGAAGGACTGCACCCCCACCAGGGCTTGTCAGGCCTCTGGCATCTGGACCCCTGACTTACCAACATTAATCTCACTCTGTGTAAAAATCTGCACCTCCACAGCACAGACTGGGTGGAGCATCGCCTATGGCCAGCAGACCCCACAGCGGGGGCCACACAGGAGAGGAGGAGGCCTGGTCTCCAGGCAGGAGTAGTGGAGCTCCTCCCCCATCTGCCGGCACCCAGGCAGTGAGGAGTAGAGTCCCCTCCCGTCTGCTGACGCCCAGGCAGTGAGCGTCACCCCACACGCGTCAGGCACAGAGACAAAGGCAGGAACTTCTTGGTACATGATTTTATAGGAAGCACATTTGTGTTCAAGTAAAGGCAGAAACAGTGACACCCCAAGTCACCAGAGTGCACGTGCAGAGGAAGAAAAGCCATCACCTGGTGACGGCCTCCGAGGGCCAGCGCTACCCTTCCGCAGCTGGAGAGCTGGAGGCACTGCTGGGCCAGGCTCCCTGCACGGGGCTCCCCCAGGAACGAGACATCCCCACCAGGCAGGGTGAGTGCGGGCTCCGGGACCGGCTTCAGCAGGCACCAGGCTGCAGAAGAGACAAGATGGGGTCAGGCTGGTCAGTTCCATCACCCACCACTCCCAGCCAGGGGACCCTCGCCCCTCTGGACCCCACGCGGGGACTGACGCTGACACTGGGTTCCTGCCGGAAACTGCGTCTGTGCCGTTCCCTGCACGCCCGGGAGCCCCAGCTTTGTGGCCTGCGGGAGGGCACCCCGTCTGGGATGCGGTCTCTGAAGAGGGAGGTTTGCTGCACTGCTCCTGACCTGCACTCACGCATGTGTGACATCTGTCCTAATACCAATGTGAAAAGCACATTTAATTCCAAAGTCGTCTGCCGAGTTTGACCTTCACACACAGAAACGGGGGAGGCTGTCCCCCAATGCTCAGCCCGTCCCCACGGCCCCGGCCGGCCCCTGCGTATCTGGATGTGATTCTTCTCCCTCTCAGACGTGGCCTCCTGCTGGATGGGAGGAGCCAGCCCTGGAACTAGAGAGAGAGACGGCAACCCCAGGCCCTAGTGCCCGTGAGAACTGC